GTGTGTATATATATATATATATATATATATATATATATATATATATATATATATATATATATATATATATATATATATAAATGTACATGTATACGCATATATAACACTGATCAGCTTTACTGGTCTGATTTGTGGCTCAAAGGCTAGTCGCACACCTGCTCTGGGACATTTCCTCACCATCGGCTGGGTGTTTCGCTTGCTTAAACCGCATCCGTTCTTAGTAAGTATATACCCGTTTCATTTTCATGCGTATTTGCATGAATCCACATGATTAGCTTCCGTATCAGAGCGCCTGTTTGAGCGTAGGTCCTTGTTCGCTCTTTCGCAGCTCGCGTTCGTGGGCTATCAGGCCCAGCAGCTGGTTCTGGTTCTGTGGGGTCCTCAGGATCCTCTCAGCCCGTCTCAGGCGGTTCTCCTGTTCCAGCGCTGCCGTGTTCTGTTAGCCTGTCTGCAGCACAGCGCCTGTCTGAGCAAATACATCAGGACGGGGTTCAAGGAGGAGTTCAGGTTCTTCATGAGCTTCAGATATTTTCAAGGCTGAGACACAGCTGTCAGATCTTTTATTATAATATCCTCTGTTTATTATAGGTACTATGTGAAGACGTCAGGGCTGGAGGACAGACTGCCCCATTACTACCCCATCAGTCAGCCTGCCCAGAACCTTCTTTCCCAGCTCCTCAGTCTGGTTCTCCAGAAACCTTGAGCTCTGGCTCTTTCTCCTTCTGTTCCTCTGGGATTAATTTCTTGTTTTATTTCTGCAGATAGACGTGGGAATATGCCTTTGAATGAACATGCTGCACTTTGAGATTGAGTCTTGTATTGTGTCTTACTATGTTTTGATCAGAGACTGTGGGATTTTACTCTGCCTTTGTCTACACTCAGGATTATTATCACTGTAATATGTGTGTAAAATATCGGCAATTTGATGGAAAGTCAGTGCAGAGAACATTTAATATATTCAGATATTTATAAAATAATGAACATAATGTGCACTTTTGCATGGCCACTCTAACATATCACAGTATTATAATATGAATATGAAACTTTTTCATATTTGTTTTGCTGTACTGTAACTAAAGCCTGATGCACTTTTTCTCTGTAAGACTCGACTGATTTTCAGGAACTCCATGAACCTCAAGGCCTCAAATTAAAAATACCAATATTTTTAATAAACATCTGTGTCTGTGACATTTTTATAAACCTAATTGTTGACTGGGTGTTTTTGTATATGCAATTAATAAACGTGTATGTAAATGCAGCATTTGCAGTGTAAATATAAATGATCAATAGAATTACACATTTTTATGTATTTATTTTTGCATACAATAAATTGACAGAATTACAGCTTGACTGGAAGTGACACGCAATGGAAATATTAAGTGATATTTACCCTGTTTTTGCGTGTGTGTGTGCATGTTTATGTGGTTTATGAGGACACAAATTTGTATAATAACATGGGTATGACAGGTATTACAACGAGAAGGTGATTTATGAGGACATTTTCAGTGTCCCTGTAATTCAAAAGGCTTATAAATAATTCAGAATGAGTTTTTTTGAAAATCTAAAAATGCAGAAAGTTTCCTGTGAGGGGTAGGGTTGGTGTAGGGCAATAGAAAATACGGTTTGTACAGTATAAAAACCATTACGCCTACGGAGAGTCCCCATAAACCATAAAAACAAACCTGTGTGTGGGTGTGTTTGTGTGTGTGTGTCACGGTGAAGGTTTTTAAGGTGACAAAAAAAATAAAAATGCAATAACATTTCATAATAGACAAATCTGATTTACAAAGAAAGCCCTAGACCTCTAATTTGATTTATTTATTTGATTTTATACACCTGATCCTGCTGTCATAATGCAAAGCGTTATTTTTTTTTGCAAAGTCCAATCCAACAAACTATAAATTGACATTAATTATTTTACCTCAGTACATTTAGTGGTTTGTCTTTATTTCCCTCTTAGATCATACGAATTTTAAATATGTAATCATTAATATTTTTATTATGGATTTTCATTTTTTTTTTTTTTTTTTTGAAAATCTGGATCTGGGGCAATAAAATTATTAATTTTAATGTAATTCGTAACAAAAATCCTTAATAAAACCTATCATGTTTTATTTAAACTATAATAGTTTATATTTTATATTAAAATGCCCACCGGCTGAAGAACAAAATGGCTATTTTCGGAATATGACAGGAGTACAGAACGGGAACGGGCGTTCGTTAGTGTTTGTTGCTACTGGGGAATGTTTTCCGAGCGCACCGGAAACAGCGTGGGGGTTACTGAGCGTCAAGATCTTCTGAACTTGTAAGTCGAAGTTTATCTTTACGTTTGTCTTTTAAATAAACTGCGAAGACGATATTGATTATAAATCGTCGGTGTAAAGCGCACAATCAATATTAAACGCGACTAGTTGATGTAACTTAAGTGAATGGCGGGAGATTAACATGTGGCTCATCATTGGATTTGCTGAAAGTAACGTTAACTTAAATACAAAACAGATTTGAAATGATTCAAGCTTAAAGTAGCCGAATATGACACTTTAATGAACGTGATATAATAGCATTGCATCAACTATTGAAAAAAATAATAATTTTGAGAGGTTAACATGTTTTTACCTTGAACTACATCTACATCACATGGCATTTGTACAAGCCAGATGGTCTATTTAACTGAACTTTTATGTCATTCGTTTTATATCATAGCTGTATTACTCCTGTCACCTGTCAGCAAACGTCCTCGCACCATCCTCAGGGTAGAGAAGATGTTGAGAAACGCCTCTGCACAGGTAACCAAACAACAGGCAGAAGTGTTCATGTTCGCTCAGGAGCATTATTACAGGCTGACTCTTATTATTCTGTCCTGACAGGTTCTTAAACAGTTCGTCCGGCACGGGACTACAGATACAAATCTGATCTTGGAGAGATGTGAGTATCTGTCAGGCCCTGTATGCACTGGCTTTTGTGTGACATGTTATTGATAAATGTGTTGACTCTTGACAGCTATTAACCGGGTGCAGCTGCTTGGGCGAGTGGGACAGGACCCCGTCATGAGGCAGGTGGAGGGCAGAAACCCCGTCACCATCTTCTCCATGGCAACAAACGAGATGTGGCGGTCTGGGGAGGGAGAACCCACAAGTACAGGTGAGATCCATCTGTGTGCTACTCCCATCATATTTTTGTAATGGAGAAGCACGCATTTAATTTTATTTGACTTCATCATTATTATTATTTTTTATTATTAATTTATATTTTTCATATATATTGTTCATGTAATGTTATTTTTATATACATATTTGACTTTTTTTTATATATATATTAGTTACTAATGCTATTTTTGAGGCTATTTAATTATTTTTGTGGTTTGTTTTCTGGAGAAATTAAAGTAAATATAAATTTTCAAAAAAAATGAATCCCTTGAACACATGATATATGATTTAAAAAAGTTGTTAAACAAAAAGATAATTTTAAAGTATGTGAGTAACAAGCAAACTAATTCTATATTTTCCCCATATGCTTTCACAGAAATTGGCTTTTTTTTTTTTCAAAGAAAATTGTCTTCATGGTGCAAATATATGGTCAAAAACAAATAATTCTGAAATATTGTCTTTATTAAAAGATCGTACACAAATGTTTTTGTTCTCTTTTTGTTTTTGCAGGAGATGTCAGCCAGAAAACAACATGGCACAGAATCTCAGTATTCAAACCAGGCCTCAGAGACGTGGCGTATCAGTATGTAAAGAAAGGGTGTGTTCCATATTTGTTTTGGAGCGATCTATAGATATAAAAAAATAAATCATGCAGCTGTTAACCTAGAATCAACCTTATTTTCAGGTCTCGGATTCTTGTGGAAGGAAAGCTTGACTATGGAGAGTACATGGATAAAAACAACGTCAGGCGACAGGCAACAACTATTATCGCAGGTCAGAGTTCACAACAGACTATAAATGTCATAACTGCTTATTTTTTACGTTTTGTTTTTGCTTTAATAGTTCAAATTTGCCAAATATCATATGTCTCTTTCCACAGATAATATTGTGTTTTTAAGTGAAAATCTGCGAGACCAGTAATGAAGACGCCTTCCCAGACTTTAGGAACCAAAAGAAGATATTTGATATAGTGTTACTCTGCTCACTGACATTAAACTCTGCGTATCATTCTGTCCAGCCTTAACAGTCATACATGGACATAAGAAGTGTTGTTGTTTGTATGATTGTGTCATGCTGGCTTATTTCCCACAGAGAGCGCTGACAGATGCACTTTGACATGTAAACACTTTCCATGAACTGGATTGGATTCTTTGTGTGTGTGTGTGTGTGTGTGTATATATGTATATATATATATATATATATATATATATAAATATATATATTTTTTTTTGGTTTGTTAAGAGATTATGTGGAGTCGCGTTTAATTGGAGCAGTTTCACGTCAATCATACATTAGCGTTCTCCTATTGGTCAGACGGGCTGTCCGTCTTCCCTGATTTTCGTACGCTCTGAGTGAGCTTTAAACGTAACAGCCAATCTGATTGGTCGCCACACGGATTCCAAGGGCGGGGCATTGGATTGAAAAGGTTAGCGTTTTTAAGGCGAATATGCGTAGTGTTTACGAACAGCGTAACAAAACAGAAACTCCTTGAAAAGCGCATATAATAATATTAGCTTGGAAACATCCGAAATGTTTCCTGAAGGTATCGCAGTCCACAAACAGTCCTTTGTAAACACATTTTGCAACTCCCATCATTTCCCCGCCCCAAATTCCTGCTCGCCTGTGAAGGGGCGACATTTCTCAAGGAAGCTGAGAGGAAAGTTCCGATAACACTGGCGACGGACGCGCAGCTTACACCTAACATTGCGCTGACAGCACCAAATTCACTCCGAGTCGTGACCTGACGAGTGTTTTGACGGTTACGCTGACAAATAGTCGTTTGTGGCGCGTGGTGATTTACTACAGACGCGGATCCAGGCATGGAAATAATGGACAGCGGGGAACCGTTTTTACAATGGGACAAAAATCTCAGCGAATTGTCCGAACCCGGGGAAAACGACATTTTATTCAGCACTGTAAGTAGGAGTCCTCTTATAACTCCGCGGCACCATTGCCATCTTCACTTACACCCTCTCATAGCATGTGTTGATGTGTTGCAACTAGTGTCAGATCACCCACAATGCCTCTAAACATCATAATTTCCTATATTTAGTCATATACACGCTTTTAAATGACTTGGTCTATCACAGAGACACTCTATAGGAGTCTGTAAGATTACTAATGTGCCTTTGGGTTCCACTTGGCTACAAGGGATAAAGTTCAGGTGGTGCAGTCATCCAGTGACTGTATCTTGCTTATGCGGTGCCACGCAAAGCAATGCAGATACGTTTAGTCCATTTTGATAAAGTCAGAATATAGTGCTCAAAGCCTTGAAGAGTTGCTGCAGGTTATGTAATAATAGGTTTGCGTGCCAACGTCTGCTCAAAGGGGCCTCTACTTGCTGCCTAATTAGGGGGTTCACAGTTGGGTAGTTGGTGCATAAAGATCCATGTACTTTTTTTGTTTATTCAACATGAATATTTTAGGCTAAAATGTACATGAATGCAAAGTATTTTGGTCTCATGTTTGTAACCATTTTAAAACCTTATATTTTTGTTTCTTACTCTTAATGCCAAATTTCCACTGTAAAGGCAGGCACGGAAGCGCTTGTGAAGTTGCTTGTAGGTGTCTTTACACACAGACTGTTTAATGCTGCTCAGAGGTGGAATGAATGCATTTACACAGATACAGATATAGCTCTATGCTTTGATACAAGGCCTTGAATGCTTTTTCAAATGCAGCATTGCGAGTCACACCGCAGAACATGTCGATTCCTAAATTATTATGATCCTCATAGATGAACGGAACTTCGAATGAAGTTAATTCCAGATGAGTGGTACATTACGAGCGGTTTCTAAGCCAACATACCAATTAAATTAGCAGACACGGCGCATAACGCCTTTCCAGACGGCCTCAAAGCCAGCGTTGGAGGTGCAGAGTTTGGTGTGTCTGGGATTCATAACCCGGCAGTATCAGGGCGGTAACGCACACTTCCAGGAGAACTATATATGCTTTGTAAAGGTTGTGAAGGGTTCATATTCTCCTTCACCTTTAGAGCAGAACGGGGTCTTTGTTTAAGGGTCCCATCGGCCCCCTCTGAACACACGCACTCCCCTACCTGGGTATGTATGTGCTGGTTCTCCTCACTTTTACTTTCGCTCCCCAGGGTTTGTTGACATGGAATTCCACACAACAAAGCAAATTGTTCTCAGTTGGAGAGAATAGAGCTTGCTTTGTGAGTTCGGCCTGTTGCGTATGTCTGTTATCGTTATGCATGTTGCGTGTGGGCTGTTTCCTTCTGCATTCTAATTCAGCTGCGCTGTCATTGCATGCCGGTTGACTTTCAAAATTGAATTTACATTCTAATTTTAAGGCATTAGGGTGAATAAGGGTAATATTTAACCAATCGATATCTTCATAGTTCCTCAGTTAATTGATTGCATTAAGAAAGTAACTTTATTTTTATTTTTGGTATGACACGTTTTCAGAAATGTTGTTTAATTATGCAAATGAGGCATGATATACTTAAATATGCACTAATTTTTGCATATTTGCAAACAGTGCAAAATCTCAATGAAACAAAAAAAACAATGTTTTTGCCTTATAGGTGTCTTGACTTAATGCATATCTGGAAAGAACGATCTTATTTAAGGAATGCAAAAATGCCCTTTTTATGACGTGATGGGCCTTGTAATTGTCTTCCGTAACCGATAGTTGCGATTATGTCTTCATTCATTGTCAGCTTTCTGTTGGGAAGGACTTGTATAGAGGGTGTGCGTTCGTACCTTCCTGTAAAACAGGTTTTTTTTTTGCCACTTACTCTTGAACTAAAGTCTCATCTGTCATATTTCAGGTGGTTTGAAATAGTTCAAATAACCCAAGGCTCATTCCCCGCTTTAGGACGGGGGTTAAGGAGATGCTGAGGGGAGCAGTTGGGCCGTCATGCTCAGCATTTCTTAGTGCTGATAATCACAGCGACACGATTAGCCTGGAAAGCACATTATCTCCTGCAGCCGGACCTTGTGGCAACCAGATGTACTTTCCTGGCCCGATGCGGAAACTAGAGCGAATATGAGGAAAGGCACGCAATTGTGCACTAACCTGTTTGTTAGTTGTTCATTTGTAACCTTTCAGCTGTTGTAGTTCATTGCTTATTTGCATATCTTCTGTATCAGAAGATCTCATTTGTCCCAGCTGATGGTTTGATGTTATGATCAGCATATAACACATTCAGGTCAGTGACCGGGTCGTTTTTCAGGGAAGTGGGGTTTCAAAGAAAGAACATTCATAGAAATCAATCAGCCTGATCTATTGCTGATACACTGGTTATTATTACTCATATTGAGTTCGGGTTATTTTGACTCTGAGATGATTTTCTTTTTCCTAAAAATGCTAGTTAATGTTATCACATTGGACTAAATCTGACCAGCGGTTTCCAGTGAGCTAGGGTTGGGTGATTTGATCAGTACCACGGAGAGTTTGTTATAACGGTTGCACTGTACAACATTAATGTGAGAATACAGAGTGGGATATGTCCCAAACAAGTCAAAGCATGGGAGAGCTTGTTATTAGATGGTGTAACACCAAGCTGAGTTTAGTTGTTTATAAATGGCAAATTTGCTGCAATAATATAGAACTGGTGTGTGTTGACAGGTTGGCATATATCAAATCACCCTCATCTAATCATCAATTTTAGAATTTTTTTGCTGGCTTTAATATTTTTCTTATAAAGTGCTTTTGCATTTATGCCAGACTTTTTGTTATGCATTACATTTTAAAATTAATTTAACATATTAATCAGCTTTTCATTAAATTTGTCCTTCATTAAATAATCCTTTGTGATTAACATTGTGATAAACTGATAAGATATAAAATGACGCATACTCTGACATATATATATATATATATATATATATATATAGGCCAGCATTCCCTCTCTTGTGACCACACACACAATCAGTGATGTTAAACACTGGACTGACGAGGATATTTTAAGAAAATAAGTCGTCTGGGTTGACTGTAGGGGCCGTGTGTGACTGTAAACACAACACAGAAGTCTGGCTTCACATTTGTGCTTTTTTAACTTTGTATTTTTAAGATCTTGTGGGACTGGAACAGACTGAAAGATTTCAGTGGTCAAATTTACATGATAGTACTTTTTGCATTTTTATAGGAAGTATATCACACACGGCCCCTACGGTCCCCAGACTTATTTTCTTAAGATATCCTCGTCAGTCCAGTGTTTTACATCACTGATTGTGTGTGTGTGTGTATATATATTTTACATGCATACATATATTGTATAATATAATTTTTCACACACACACGTATATATATATAAATATATATGATTTGAACAGTTTTTAAACAGGGTTTGTATAGTTATCTAAAACTGAAACTAAAATTTAAAAAAATGACAATAAAATTACTAAAATGTACTGAAAATGGAAAATATAGAAATAAAAACTGATTAATTATAAATAATAATGATACTAAAATAACTTTTTGATACTAAAGTTTTTCCATTATGATATAAATTACTATAAAAAATGCAGCCAACAAGAAACCACCTAGCAACAATCCAGAACACCCTAGCAACCATATAGCAGCGTACTAAAATGGCAAAAAACATTTTCTACATATTTAGACTGTGTGATGCTTCATATCAGGTCCGATTATCGACAGCATCCTGGTTCTGAAAATGTGTGTGGTCAGTGCATAGCATGTCAGGACAGCCTGATCTTGTGTTCCTGAGCTCTCTGACATTTTGATAACATTTGTCACTCAGGAATCACGTGGTGTTCTGATGACTCGAGCTTTAGCGGAGCATCTCGCGGGACGGGAGGGGTGAGTCTGTAGTGAGAAACCCTCTGTGCTCAGTGTGTTGGGCATGAGCGGCCCGTCTTCTCCTCTCTGCTCTCTGTGGGACGGGTGGACACAGACTCGGCCTGTTCTCCGAGAGGGCAGGGCTTTCGTCCGTCGCTCTTGCAGGCTGTATCTGCGACACACATTCTTGCACTCTTGCTCTGAATGGATGGTTTGTATGAGCTGCAACTTAAACCTGAACCTTTGCTGAGCGCACACACATTCATTACTCATTACCACGTCCCAATTTATTCATCACCATCTTGTGGTTTCACTCTGTCTTATCTGCCCAGTCATTCTAAGAGCCCCTTGGAGGCTGATCTCTCTTTGATTCAAACAATGTATTTTGGCAGTGAAGACGTT